AATCAGGAAATCTTTTAGCAGCAGCATCAAACTGGGCAGGATGTCAAAGTGGACTCTGGTTGCTGATTGGTGGAGCTGGTCGCCTGTCATCTGCTGGGCGGAGCTTCAAGCTTTCTTTCTGAAATGTTCGTAATATAACAAATTTCTTATAATATTACATTTACTTTATTCTCAAAATTAAAAAAATTAAAGCCTGGCCCTAATACTCTGTCGTACTACAGGAACTTAGACAAACTTTATGTTGCATACAGAGCGTATAAACAAAACGAAATTTCGTTTATACAGCAATATTTACATCTGTATAAATGAATATAGGTTTATACAGGAAATGTCTTCTATTCTCTTACGGGTTTCAGGAACATTTTCCAAAAACATCTGCGTTTTCTGTGCTGATCTGACAATTTTTACACGTTTACACCTGTTTTTAGATCTAACCAACAGAAACCAGGCATAAACCAGAGGCAGGACCCTGACTGTTCCTGGTTTTCCAGCTTCCAGCTGCTTTGAATACATTCTGTTTCTGAAACGTCTCCCAGTCGTTAAACTGAAGTCGTTCAGGATGAGCAGCAGCACATTTTCGGCCCATCGATCATGAAAGCAGCGTGTCGGTCTGGTTCTGGTTCTGACATGAACAGGTGGAAAACGGACCAGAACCTGAATGAATAGCGGTTCTGATAGAGGAACTCTGCTCCACCGCTCTCAGCGCTCATCCTCCACTCCTCCGTCTGCCTAATCGCCTGCTAATTAACTTTAATTGCTGTGATTCGGCACTTTCATGTCAATTAAGTGACTTTTCATCTTGTATTAACTAATTAGCCAATCAGAGCGCGTCACTGTCTCACTGCAGTGACACCAAGCTCCAATCACATCATGGACGCGTCCATCCGGTAGCGGCGGCGTTCCATGCAGCGTGTTGGAGGAAGGCGGGATCAGAGGGCAGCTCAGAGGAGCCAGGCTTCAGAAACCTGCAGGAAGGAGTTCCTGAATAAACCGGTTTATTCAGGAAGGAGTTCCTGAATAAACCGGTTTAAGTTCAGCCTGTAGAGCGTCCGTCAGCAGACGACTCTCACCTCTTAGATCAGTCACATCCAGCATCGCTTCAGCTCCTTCAAGGTCCCATCCCAGCGCCTCCATCAGAGACTTTGACCAGACTGAATCAGGACTTTTTATTTTTTTTGGTTCATTTATATGGAGAGGATTTTATTACCGTTATTGTTGCAAAAAAAAAAAAAAAAACATGTTCGAATTTTTTGGGAAAAATTTTTAATAAAAAGAAAAACGGTTTGACTGTAACCAGACACTCAAAACCGCTCTGGACCAGGTCCAGATCGGGACCTGGTTCTGTTCTGGACTAGGACCCGTTCTGGACCAGGTTCTGTTCTTTCTGGACCAGGTCCTTTTCTGTTCTGGACCAAGTCTTGTTCTGTTCTGGACCAGGTCCCGTTCTGGACCAGGTCCCGTTCTGGACCAGGTCCCGTTCTGGGACGGGGTTCTGTTCTGGACGGGGTTCTGTTCTGGACTAGGTCCCGTTCTGGACCAGGTTCTGTTCTTTCTGGACCAGGTCCTTTTCTGTTCTGGACCAAGTCTTGTTCTGTTCTGGACCAAGTCTTGTTCTGTTCTGGACCAAGTCTTGTTCTGTTCTGGACCAGGTCCCGTTCTGGACCAGGTCCCGTTCTGGACCAGGTCCCGTTCTGGACGGAGTTCTGTTCTGTTCTGTTCTGGACCAGGTCCTGCGCTGGACCAGGTCCTGCTCTGGACCAGGTTCTGTTCTGGAACAGGTCCTGTTCTGGACCAGGTCCTGTTCTGGAACGGGGTTCTGTTCTGGACCAGCTCCTGCTCTGGACCAGGTTCTGTTATGGAACAGGTTCCGTTCTGAAACAGGTCCCGTTCTAGGCCAGGTCCCGCTCTGGACCAGGTTCTGTTCTGGAACAGGTCCTGTTCTGGACCAGGTCCTGTTCTGGAACGGGGTTCTGTTCTGGACCAGGTCCTGCTCTGGACCAGGTTCTGTTATGGAACAGGTTCCGTTCTGAAACAGGTCCCGTTCTAGGCCAGGTCCCGTTCTGAAACAGGTCCCGTTCTAGGCCAGGTCCCGCTCTGGACCAGGTTCTGTTCTGGAACAGGTCCTGTTCTGGACCAGGTCCTGCTCTGGACCAGGTTCTGCTCTGGACCAGGTCCCGTTCTAGACCTGCTCTATTCTGGACCAGGTCCTATTCTAGAACAGGTTCTTTTCTGGACCAGTTCCCGTTCAGGACCTGCTCTGTTCTGGACCAGGTCCCGCTCTGGACCAGGTCCCGTTCTAGACCAGGTCCCGTTCTAGACTAGGTCCCGCTCTGGACCAGGTCCTGCTCTGGACCAGGTTCTGTTCTGGACCAGGTCCCGTTCTAGACCAGGTCCCGTTCTAGACCAGGTCCCGTTCTAGACCAGGTCCCGTTCTGAACCAGGTTGTGTTCTGGACGGGTTACCTCCATGCCGCTGACCCGTCCCTCCTGGAAGGAGCAGTCCTGCAGGTTGTTGGTGCAGATGTGACGGTATTTACACCAGTGACATGGGAAGGTGCTGCTGACGCAGGAGGTGCACCTGAGGGGAGAGAGAGGCTGTGATTGGTCGCTGAGGGAGCAGCTGGCGGAGACGAGGAGGTGTTGGACTCACGAGCTGAGGACGGAGCAGTTGTAGTAGACCACGCTGGTGGAGATGAACTGCAGTCCGGTCTCTGTGGAGCGAAGGCTGAGCTGCACCTCCCTCTTCTCTCCTGAAAGCAACCAGCAGGTCAGTGACCCGCTCTCACCCGCCATGTTCTGAAGGCGGAGTCTGCATCTCACCGTAGGGAGGGCTGTGCGCCGGGAGGTCCTTCAGCGACGGCGACATGCACACCACCTGACCTTTGCCCTGCACCTGTCCAGGCGTCTCCGTCAGGTCCTCGAACACGCAAGTGACCCCGCCCGACAGCTCCGGGACGTTCTGCACCCTGATGGTCAGCTGGAGGCAGGAAGGAGGAGGCAGAAGGTCAGACCTGCAAAACGGAGACGCTAACCGAGACCCACAGGTGCGTTCGGCTCACCTGAGTGGCAGGCGAGGTGACGGACATGTTGCTCGGGGTGACAGAGATGTCCACGCATTGGTCCAGCCGGGTGTTGAAGTGCTGAGGCTCCTCCCACCGGTCACAGGATTCCTTCCTGGAACACCTGGGAAGGTCAAAGGTCACCGGTTAGGCAGTAGGAAAGGACAGGTTTGGGTTTCGGCGCGTCCACCTGAGAGCTGATTACTGACGGTGCTAATTAAAAGGCGGCGGCGACGGAGTCATCGTTTCGCTGCAGGTGGAGTCGGAGCAGCAGCTCCGACATATGCAGCTCCTGCAAAACATGGCAGCCTGCAGTAATGATCTGTTTACTTCTAATTAACAGCAGATGGACAGGAGGAGGAGGAGGAGCAGGGCTAATGAACAGAATTTTTTTCTGAGGGAAACTCAGCCCTATGAGCTAACGGTCACAGAGCGAGGGGTCCCTGGAGGACAAACTGGAATTCAAAGGTGAAGCTGATCGATCAGTCGGAGCTTTTCAGATTTAAGCCACACCTACGAGCTGAGGCTCTGATGTCCGACTAACGGCGTCCTGCTGGAAGACATCGCCCGCCTTCAGAGACCCATCAAACCGGCTCCTGGTTCCGGTTTCATCATCTCGCTAGCTGAGGCTTTTACTTTGAAGGGACGGCTGACTGATGGAACTCCAAAGAGGAAGTTCCTCCACCTGCCTGGATGCCGAACATCAAACATCCTGATGAGAGGCTGAGCTATTTATAGCAGCATTAATGATGCCTCAGGGGGTAACCACACATCCACCCCACCCCCCACAGCCTGAATCATCTCCTGCTTCTCTACAGCAAACGGAATCTGAGGACAGGATGGAGACACTGAGGACACCTCAAAACAACTAGACTGATTATCGGACAATAATTGGACAGTCCCGATTAAAATAATAACACTTTTTATCCAAATGTGCCTTTATGAGCACGAAAGGACGCGGTACAGTTAGAGCTGCTGCTTTCGGCACTACAGGAAGCTAATGAGGGGATTTTAGGGAAGTAATGGATGCAGGACGGCACAAGGCTACGGACCAGAGCAGGACAGGAACCAGGGGAAAGAGAGACGGACGAAGATTGTTGATACAGAGGAGATGGAAATAAGCAGAAGGAGTAAAGTTATCGAGGTGAAAGGAGGAGGACAGAGTGCTGTGGAGACAAACAGCCAGACTCTGGACCCGAGGCGAAGGGGAGGTCATCTGGTTCCTACAAGGAGGATCAGCGTTTAGACTTTGATTAGTAAGCAGGAGGTGAGAGGAGGAGTGAAGATAGAGCTGGCTGTCATCTGCATAGATTTTCAAAGGAAAGAAGATGAATAATAAAGAGTAAAGATGCCAGGACAGAGCCTTGGGGGACACCGGTTGGAACTAAAGAGGAACAATAAGGCTTAATCTGAACGAACTGATTGAAGGGGAGGATGAGCGACACCAGCGGCAGATAATCTATTATCCCGTTTACACCACCCTTAAAAAACCGTGCAGAGACCGGTCCGAGCTCAGTAACTGAGATAACTTATCGCGTGTAAATGGAAAGCAAACTGAACTGAACTGAGCTAGACACAACCGAACCGAGCTAACGAGCCAGTTCCAGAGGTGGGCTCGGCTCGGTTTTTCCCTGGTTTTCTCTGATAACAAGAGCGCATGAGCAGAACGCGTCATCTCCGTCTGGCTGCATATCGCGATTCACACTCCATTCCAGTAGGTGGCGGTAATGCTCCTCCGGAAGTTGCTTGCCAAACGACACAAAACAGAAGAACAACAACAACTTATAAACAACAATCGAAATCTTCTCCACGCAACATTTTAATTTGCTTGATTCCCCTCCTTCTTCTTCTTCTTGTGTTTTATGGCGGTTGGCAAACAACTTTTGGTGCATTACCGCCACCAACTGCTTGATTTCCTCCTTCTTCGTCTTCTTCTTGTGTTTTATGGCGGTTGGCAAACAACTTTTGGTGCATTACCGCCACCAACTGCTTGATTTCCTCCTTCAATACTGGCAGTAATACCGCTCAGTGTTGCCAACTCAGCGCTATATGTAGCGATTTTTCAGACCCCTCCAGCGACTATTTTTCAAAAAAGCGACTAGCGACAAATCTGCCGACTTTTTACGTTGTCACTGGCGGCTTTTGGAGACTCTTACGTGAAAGCATGTATCGTTCCTACTCTGCCGTGGGGCGCCTCTCCCATCCCAACCCCGTTCTCCCGCAGGAGTCCCTCTCAGCGCTGCAGTCAGACCCTCAGGATGTTTACCCTCAGCGTCCAGACTGCAAATGAAACGCGCATGCGCCGGGATTGACGGCGCAAATTGATCACCGCTCCGCCCTGACTCACATTCAAGGCAGGAGTGAGCGGGATGTAAATAACTAAAAAAATAAATAAATAAACATTAATGGACAGAAAAAAAGTAGCTCTATATATTGTTTAGAAAAGTGATTAAAAACACTACTATATCGTGTTTTTAATCACTTTTTGTCTTTCTGTAATGACATTATTTCTCCCACAGCATCAATAACATGTACATCACTTCCTGTGGCAGATTATGCAAATTAGGCGATGATGTCATTTAGCGACTTCTAGTGACGTTTAGCACAGCCAATAGCTACTTTCCTTACTAAGGAGTTGGCAACACTGATACCGCAGATCGTCGCGAGGAGGCGAGGAACCGAGATAGCGTGATGCGTAAACGGTCGTCAGAACCGATCTCGGCTTGGTTAACTGATCCGAGCTCGGACCGGTCTCGACATGGATCGGTTCTTCAAGGCTAGCGTAAATGGGGTAAATGGCAACCTTTTATATCCAAGGAGCCTTTATTCCCCGAGTCTGACCAGGAAAAAGTCATTAAGAACCGCAAAATATCAAACACAAACTATTATTTTAGTATCTGGTGTATCTTAAACAGCCAAAAGTGTATTGGTATTTTACCTTTTAAAATAATGATAAAAAACATCATTTCTAAGCTAATAAAAAAAGGCTCTAAAAACATATTTCTCATTCTTTTTATGTCATTCCGTTATGAAGATTCAGTTAATATTCTTTATAAAAACCTCTACAGCTCCTCAGCCTGGTGTTTGTTACTAAAGTATATTAGTTAGTTCTTTATAGCCTCTATCTAGAGCCATAACAGACGGTCCATAGAGCCGCATGGAGCCGCAGGCTGCAGAGCGCGGCTCTATGGGGAAGGTAGAGGGAGGAACTGTGTTAAAGGTCAGTTAGCTGACATCTAAAGATGGCTGGAGGTTTTTAGGAGGCTGGTTCAGCATCAGGATGGGGCGGAAACTAGACTGGATCTATTAATGAAATAATAAAACCGCTCTAATGTTTCATAAAAACAAAAATAAAAGCATTAAGAATCAATAGGTGATGGAATCCCCGGCAGCAGGGATCACTCAGAGGAACCGCTGCCCAGTTCCGCCTCCAGTCGGCTTCTCTGGGCTAAGAGGCTTCCGGGTGGAACATCATGGTAGGATGGATCAGTTTTCCACATGTTTGATGGAAACAGAAGCTTCCGGCCTGGATCATGACGTCATAACCTGTGGACCAATCGATGGGGAAGAGGCCGGGACATGTGGACTGGGCTGAACCAGCAGGAGACGACCAGGTGATGCTGAAAACACTCGGACATGTTTTGGGAGAGAACTTCTTGGTTTGGATCCTCTGAGCTCCAAACGACAGGAATGGCTGAATATGAAGCTTCTGTGGTGCAACAGGAGGTTCGTTCACCAGAAATCCTTCATTCTAACGTGTCTTCATCATGGAGTCAATACTTCCTAAATGATGGTAGTGATGTCATCAGTACGCTTCTGTTCCAACTGACCCATATTTATGCTGCGTGCTCAGTTTCTCCCCGAGTCCAGACTTTCCTGTGTTCTTCTCATACTTGGCGAGGACACAAGTCAGTACTCACGTTCTTTTGAAGTGAGAAACGGCCTAAGGTGCGGGGGGGGGACAGCAGCCACGCAGCTGCCAGCGAGGGGTTACACCAGCTTTTTATGCCAATAGAAAGGAAACCAAACGCTGATTGTTAGCGTGTCGACCCATATTTGCATTAACCCGCTAATTTCAGTGGTAACCCAACCAGTTCACTAACCCCTAACCAGTTGATCTGAGCTCCTGACTGTGTCTATGACAGATAACGTACCACTGGGAGCCATTATCCAGACGCTGGGAGCTGATCAGGTGGACCTGGGGCTGCCGGGCGCTCTCTACACTGGAAAAACGATCTAGAAATGAGTAAAAATTTCTTAAATTAAGTGCATTTACCCTTAAAGGAATAGTACACCCAAAACATGATTAGCCTTCATTTTCTACTCACCCCCATGCTGAACAACACTCTGGAGTACTTTTTTGATATCTCAAATGCATCTGGAGATCTGGGAGGCTTCTTGCTGTCTGCTGACATTCAAATAATGGAGGTCTATGGTGCCCGAGGCAGAAAGGTCCATAAAAGTCCACAAAAAACGTTTCAATATTCCTCCATACTGCTCGTCCAATGTATTCCAAGTGTCCTGAGTGGGTAGCATCCAGAATTTACTCGAAACGAAGTCATTTAGAATGTTTTTAGAGCATAAACAGTAGTGTATAGGATTTCCTGAAAGCGCGTTCACGAGTCTACGGAAACCGCGGCAGACCAAACCAGATGAAAGTGCGCATTCAGCTCGGCAAAGAACTCATGCTCTTCCTCAACACTGAAGTCCTCAGACATTTTTCTTTCGTTGTTTCTTTCTTTGCACAGGTAAACAGCACATTTCTTCTTCTACGCTTGCATTATCGGCAGAGCAGACGCTGAATGCGCACTTTCATCTGGTTTGGTCTGCCGCGTTTCCGTAGACTCGTGAACGCGCTTTCAGGAAATCCTATACACTACTGTTTATGCTCTAAAAACATTCTAAATGACTTCGTTTCGAGTAAATTCTGGATGCTACCCACTCAGGACACTTGGAATACATTGGACGAGCAGTATGGAGGAATATTGACACGTTTTTTGTGGACTTTTATGGACCTTTCTGCCTCGGGCGCCATAGACCTCCATTATTTGAATGTCAGCAGACAGCAAGAAGCCTCCCAGATCTCCAGATGCATTTGAGATATCAAAAAAGTACTCCAGAGTGTTGTTCAGCATGGGGGTGAGTAGAAAATGAAGGCTAATCATGTTTTGGGTGTACTATTCCTTTAATTTTAGTAGGTAAATGAGACAGTTTGCCAATGGAATGAGTATTTTTACTCTTAAAATAAGATAATTGGATAATAAGCACTTGAAATAAGACAATGCAATTGTGTTTTCTTATTTTAAACGTAAATTGTCTTGTTCCATTGGCAAAATGTCTCTTTTGTCTCCTCAATCCAAGAACAAATGCACATATTTTAAGAATTTTTTTCCAATGTATATGCATACAGCGCCGTGCCTAGCTATCAGCCTCACACGGCTGTCTGTATGATGCACAGAAAGTTTGCCACGTTTGTGTTTGTCCCGACTGTAGCTGAAGGAATCCCCGCCCACTAAGACGTCCTCTGAGAAGAAAAAGGTTATCTAAGAAGTGACGCATATTTCCATTAGCAGCTCATTTGTTCAGCTGAGGAAAGGTCGGTCAGTTCAACGCCGCTCAAATCATGTTCAAATCATGCTTTTATATTTCAAATCATTTCCATTGTAGTGGAGTAGTATCTCCATGGGGGAGCAGTCTGTATTTGCAGTGCAGCCGTAGTGATGTGATTTGTGGAGACACCAGAACAGCAGCCGTCTAGACTGCTGCTCGGTTTGTGGCTTTTGTCAGACGGCTTGATGAAGCATGCTGGATGTTTACCGGAGAGACAGAAGCCTTCTGGTAGCAAACCCAAGGATGCAGGCAGATGTGAAGCTAAATGAATGCTGCCTAGTGCTAAAGCTACTGTAGCTGTAACAGTGTTCAAACACAATAAGCCCACAGCAGACGGATTCATCAGCTGGAGATGTTATAAATTATGCTGACTCATCGTTGCTCCTGGAAAAGGGGCTTTAGAAGTCGGCGTCCTTTAAGACGTAACGTCCTCAGAAAGACTAGAGCAGAGCAGCAGCTAGCGGGTCGGCCTAGAGGTTAGGGTATACAGCTTGGAATCCTGAGGTTGTGAGTTCCAAACCCACTCCCACAGACTTCCACTCTGAGCAAAAGAACCCTAACCCCAGGTTCCCCCCAGGGCGCCGCACAATGGCAGCCCACTGCCTCCCCAGGGGATGGGTTAAATGCAGAGGGGGAATTTCGTTGCTCTATAAAGCAGGTGTAGAAGGCTCCTTACTTGTTGAAGAGGACACACCATCCGCAGTGAGGGTCTCCTGATCCCAGACAGGCGGAGCAGCTGCTGTGCTGTTCGCAGCTCTCCACCGGCAGCTTGCTCACCTGAGGACAGACAGACACACAGACGGCCTCAGACCTGCAGACACAGAAACGCCTCCTTCCAACGCCGGACCTCTAACCAACGTTTATCGCTTCACATCTGTTTTGCTTTTTAGGTTGAAATGTGGAGGTTTTGTTCTCAGTTTTAGCTGCTGAATGACATCCGGGTTTAACTGGTTATACTGGTTTACTGGACAAAATGTGAGTTTTGATCTCGAAAAGAAAAATCAATTAATTGCTACTAACTAATATTACGGAAGAGGATTAGGGCCACTGAAAAAAAAATTAA